CAACATTTTCTCAGCTCAAACAAGCACTTATATTAGCTCCAGTTCTAGCATTGCCAAACTTTTCTCAGCCTTTTGTGTTAGAGACTGATGTATCTGGAAAAGGGATTGGAGCTATACTTATGCAACAAGGAAGGCCCCTGACTTACTACAGTTCAGCTCTCTGCCCTAGAAATGCTGCTATGTCCACCTATGAGAAATAGGCCTTTGCCATATTGGAAGCCTTAAAGAAATGGAGACATTATATTTTGGGAAATGAGGTCATAATCAAAACAGACCAACAATCCTTGAAATTTATAATAGATCAGAAACTTACTAAATGAGTGCAGCACAAGTTGATGATGAAACTGCTAGAATTCAATTTCACAATCTAGTATAAAAAAGGGGCTGAAAACAGAGTAGCAGATGCACTATCTAGACTGCTACCTAAGTGCTTGGCAATATCTTCTCCTGTACCAGCTTGGGCTGAAGAACTAGTGGATAGTTATTTGAAATACCCTGCAAGAAAAATACTGCAAGAGCAGTTGTTACTACACAAAGACCAAACTGTGGATGATTATACCATGACATCTTCTGGTATTATCATGTTTAAAGGAAAAATTCTAGTTGGCAAGGTCCCCGAATTGAGAAACAAGTTGCTCACAGCTCTCCATAGTTCTCCTATAGGGGGGCATTCTGGTGTTATAGCTACTTACCACAGAGTTAAAGGGATTTTTGACTGGCCTGGATTAAAAGCTGATGTAGAAAGTTTCATTGCTGCCTGTCCTACTTGTCAAAGAGCTAAAAGTGAACACTGCTTGCAGCCAGGATTGTTGGAACCTTTGCTTATTACTGATATGGCCTGGGCACACATCTCCATGGATTTTATAGAAGGATTACCAAATTTCGGAGGCAAGGAAGTGATACTGGTGGTAGTGGATAGATTCACCAAATATGCCCACTTCATTCCTTTATCACATCCTTACTCAGTGCTAACAGTAGCTCAAGCAGTGGTGGACAACATAATCAAACTACATGGCCCACCAAAAATGACCATCTCTCATAGAGATAGGATTTTCACTAGCAAGCTCTGGAAGGACATCTTTACAACATTGAAAGTGGAGTTAAGATACAGTTCAGCTTACCATCCCCAAACAGATGGACATACTAAGAGGGTTAATCAATATTTAGAAACCTATCTCAAATGCATGACAACTCAGGAACCAAAGAAATGGAGTGCTTGGTTGGCCCCAGCTGAGTACTGGTACAATTCCACTTACCACACAGCTATAAAGATGTCTCCCTTTCAGGCATTGTGTGGTTTCCCTGCTCCAATGGTTGCTGAGTTGGCAATACCAGGACCAGAGGATGAAGAGGCTCAGGATTTCCTCACTACAAAACAGAGTATGTTGGACCAACTCAAGGCAAATTTGTCACAAGCCCAGAACAGGATGAAAAGATTTACTGACATGAAAACAGTGGAAAGAAGCTTTGCAACTGGGGATTTAGTATATCTCAAAATGGCACCCTACAGACTAGTGGCCTTTGGGTTCAGGGGAGCAATCAAATTACACAACACGTATTATGGACCTTTTCTGGTAACTCAAAAAGTGGGCAGAGCAGCCTACAAACTACAGTTTTCTCCACATGTTAAAATTCATCTAGTTTTTCATGTCAGCCAGCTCAAGAAACATATTGGAAGCAAAGCAATTCCCAGCCCCAATCTGCCTATGGTGAATGAGGATGTCACTGTCAAAACTAGACCAGTGGTAATGTTACAAGTCAGACAAGTGCCTAGGAACAATCTTCCGGTTGTGCAATGGTACATTCAGTGAGAAAACCTCTCTCCAACAGAAGCAACTTGGGAAGATCCTGATTTGAGCAAGTATACATTCCTGGAGTTCTTCAAGGCAACATCTCAAGCGTGGAGAGACGCAAATCAAACGCCCTAAGGACATGTCATTTCTTAGACGGGGGCAATGTCAGGCCTGAACCTGCATGTGTCGTCAAGATTCAGTTATCCAACGATCGGGAGGCTTTCTCGCAATACCGCTTCGTCGTGAGCCGTTGATTCCCTTAATGTGCCGTTATACAGTAATTACTGTTACTTTTCACTTGTCGGTAACTATTCGCCTATATAACCAGCCGGGATGTGGCCGGCGTGAATCATCTCTCTCTTTTTCAGACTCGCCTCGATGGCTTGTGATATACTCCAACATTAAATCAATAGCAAATATATACAGATCTGAGACTTTCCCAGCACCAAATCCTCTTGATTTACTCGCTAAATTCGCATAGGTATAGATCGGTCCTGACACGGACTGGACGCTGGATGGGCGTCGTCGGAGGCTACGAGGAAGCGGCTGGCCTCGAGCCCTCGACCCTCGATTGAGATCGTGGGAGGTCGTCTCACCATGCACTCGCGGGCCGTGGCCCGGGGAGGTAAGTGTAGCCCCGAGCCCCCGAGTAACGCGCCTCCGGGAGGGGCTGGGGGGATGTGGGTGGTGATGAGGCTGGAGCTTGCTCGGGGAGGCTAGGGTCGGAGCCGCGCCAGAGTCCCGGTGCCTGGCGCCATGACGGTGAGGTAAGGAGACTCACCTTGGATCTTTACCTCTATATTTTGGAGCTGCTAGTGGCTTCTTCGGCGGTGGAATGCAAGAGGCCAGGGTGAGTCGCTTGTATCAAAGTAGTAGTAAAAGGGTGCTTCGATACGTTTTAGTCTCATGACTAAAAGTAGTGGGACTAAAACTTGCTAGCCTCACCCATGCTTAGATCCAAATACTAAAGAGACTAAAATCAAGTTAATGAGCATTTATTATCCTCCACCCTCCAATCCAGAACTCGCATGTATTAAAGAGAGGAGTTAAATGAGGAGAGAGAGAGGACTAATCCACATTTTAGTAGGGGTACCCTGACTAAAACATTTTAGTCTCAAGACTAGTTTTAGTCCCTCTTTAGTCAAAGGTGCTTGGAACTTTAGCCTCTTAAAGAGACTATTTTTAGTCAGACTAAAATAGGTCCCTTGGATCCAAGCACCCTCTAAATGTTCTTAGCTAAAAAAAGAAGTAGTGGTAAATGTTCTACTAGGCTGGTCCAGCCACTTACTTAGGGAAAAGAAGTGTATTAGTACCCACATCCTGCATACTTTCATCTAGTAAGATTTAGGTGGATTATGCTTTGTGGTAAAATTATACCCATGACTCCATGATCAGTGATCTCTATGTGTGACAATCACCGATATAAGTATACACTAGACTCACTGGTTGTGTGTAAAATGTCCATTAAGCCAGGCCTCAAGTTTTTTTTTTAGAAAAGGAGGATGACCCCGGCCTCTGCATCTGGTAGATGCATGCGGCCATTTTATTGATTATTCTCGAGGCCCTTACAAAGTATCACAACAATACGCCTGAATCCGCCATCTTGGCATCATATGCCCCTACTCCTATCCATATGATGAAGGGCGCTAGCTGGGCCAAATACCCAGTCCACTCACCTAAGCCTATCATCAAAAGCCAGAAGCCCCAGCCGAGCCACATACCGGGTTTGGGGCAGAACTGGTCTGACGCACTCACATGTGTCGTCGCCGCCATCTTCCACTGGTCCGTCTTCAGAGCAGATATTGACGCTTCTATCTTGTTAGGCCTCTCTGCCATCGACGCCACCATGACGCCAGACAGCAACATCCTCCTGTGCGAGTCCAGCACCGCGCATCGGGCGCCGAGTCTCCACTGCACCACGCCGCCGAGATCCACCGTCATCAATGTGCAGGATGAAGCACCGCTCCGCCAAAAAAAACCGCTCACTGGTCCCTCGAACCCGTGTATGCCTCCAAGAATGACGCCCCCAAGAAGGAAACGACACCAACGCGCCGCCGTCATCTGATCTACTGATCTAGGGTTTCCCCCGAAGGTAGCGGATAGAGGTCTGGAGCTTCTCCACGGCGATGCCTTCAAGAAGGTAATGACACAAAAGAGTGCCGCCAACGCCGGTCTTGGCATCAAGCCGAGAACTAGGTTTTCACCCGGATCCGCTGAAGGAACCTCCATCAAGCATCGTGTGCACGGGTCGCCGCCGCGTCGCCACCACCACACCGGGGCCCCAACGCAACCGCCAGCACGACCACCGTGCCTAGCAGCCGTGGAGGCCCGGCGTCACCACGCCCGGGTCTCGACCGGCCAGATCCAGATCCGGAGAAAGGGATCGGGACGGAACGGAGACCTCCGGTCGCCGCAGCCGCAGGCAACACCACGGGACGGAGCTCCATCACCCCCGCAGCCAGCGCGCCATGCCGCCGCCGCGCCCTCGCAGCACCACGCCGCCAAGCGCCGCCGCCGACAGAGCACCACGCCATGGTCAGAGGGCGGGGAGGCACGCCGAGGAGAGACCCCGCCGCCGCCGGCCGTGCCCGGGCTTTGCCCGGCAGTAGCCCTTGGCGGCGGCGAGGGGGAAGGGAGGAGAGGAGGTCGGCCGGTGGCTGGGATCTGGATTCCCCCCGTGTCGCCTCGAGGAGGGACGCGGGGGTCGGGGCGATGCAGTGCCACACATTGACTGACCAAACCACCATTCAGCTTGGCCAAGCCAGGCCTCAAGTGCTAATAGGACGTGGAATGGCGCAACTCAATGCATTGAGTTGAAACCAACATGGAATTTTTGTGTGTGAACCATGGACTATCTGCATAATCTAACCCTGAGGGGCCAATTAGGCGCATGTGACTAGGTTTTCACAGGCACTCCGCATTCCCCTGGTTTTGCATACATCTCGATGTCAGTCAGTCGAGACAGTTTTTTAATGCTTGATTTAGATCAAAATTAGGAACGAATGTGATATCATATTCACTTGGTGTAAATATCGGAAGTAAAATTGGATATGAACCCACAGTTGTGATATCAAGAATTTGGGGTGATTTGTGGGATATCAAGAATAAGTAAATAGTGATTGCTCTGAGCTATTTTACGCAATTCTCCATAACTATATTACACATTGTCTTGAGATGTCAACTGACACTAAAATACTATGAGAAGGGTCATCTTGGAGTCTGACAAGAAGCTTTCATTTCAGCCTCCATGCTCAACTGTGTACTTCCTTCTGAACGGTGCAGGCTGGAAGTGGAACTTGCTTCACGTAGAAGGTTCCCTTGTTCATTATATGGTTCATCTGTTTTTCTCATAGTTTGCTCCTTGGTGAATGACCTTCTTAGCTCCTCTAAAACTGATGCAACCTCCTTCATAATGGGTCGTTCTTGTCCATTCATACTTAAGCATCTCACAGAGAGCTGCGCAACTGCATAGAGTTGCTCTTCACCTGCTTCTTCCAAAATGTGTGGCTCTATCTCCTTAAGTAGCCGCCCTTCATTTACTAGAATTACCACATGCATGGCTAAGTTGCATGATTCTTCTGGCCTGCCTACGGAAATAGGCTTCTGCCTTGTCAGTAGTTCTGCAAGAACTACTCCAAAACTGTAGACATCACTCTTTTCTGTGAGCTGGCTGCTTTGAAAATATTCAGGATCGAGGTAACCTATAGTACCTTGAATAAGGGTGGTTACATGAGTTTGATCAAATGGAACTGATCTTGATGCACCAAAGTCTGAAATTTTGGCTACAAAGTTCTCATCCAACAGTATGTTGCTTGATTTGATATCCCTGTGAATAATTGGTATAGCAGCTGTGGAATGGAGATAGGCAAGTGCTTCTGCTGTTTCTGCAGCTATCCTTAAGGCATCCTCCCATGTTAAGGAGCGAGGTCCACTTCTGTCGTGGATGTGCTGAAAGAGTGTTCCATTGGGTATGAATTCATACACCAGCAAGGGAACTTCTATCTCTAGACAACATCCCAAAAGCTTGACAACATTTGGGTGATCGGTCTGTGATAAGATGGTAATCTCATTGACAAATTGCTCCACCTGGCTCTCATCAAACACCCTGGACTTTTTTACAGCAACCACAGTCTCATCTGGAAGAACACCCTTATATACTGTTCCATATGCACCTCGGCCAAGGATTCGAGTCTCGTTGTAATTGTTAGTTGCAGTCTTGAGCTCTTCCGCACTGAATATCTTTGCCGACGAGTCCGTACCTTGAGATGTGATTGCTGTAAATCTCTGCTGCAACAGCAAACCTCCATTCTTACGGAATAACTCAGCTCTCTTTCTTCTCATCTTTCTTCTCTTCATGGCCCAGTAGTAGCACAGAGCTGTGCTAGATATTGTAACCACAAGTGCAAGACCAACACCTGCAAACATTTGATGAAAAAGTAAGTCTTCGTTCTTCACGTAATGCAGATAGCTACCAAGTTACGTCTGATTACTCCGATGCAGATGCTATATTGACATAATCTTTGGGACAAGCATAAACTGTCAAATCTCCTTAATGCTATCCATTAGGGAATATGTGTTTGATCCAGTTAACCTTCTCTTATGGTCATACATCATGAACACTCTATATAAACTTGCAAAATATTTTTGCCTGTAGTTCATTGGTCATTCGTATGAGCCATCATAAGAGTTGTATAGGGACACAGATTTGCGGAGCTCGGGTGCCCCTACCCACTTTATTAGAAAAAGGTGTGTTTGCAAGTTCTTCTAAAGAAAAACCCAAACATGTAGATGTGTGAACAATTTATGAACATATGAATTTGGTGAAATTGTCATTTTGCGGTCTGCAGTAAATAGGCAAGGACACTGTACTACATCATTACACCACAATGGCACCATTGCAGAACTGCTATATCTGAATTGCCTCAATAGAATAAGATGAATTAAAAACAAAAGATAATAATCAAAATTGGTAATGCCAGGTGTGTTGAGTAAGTTACCAAAAGCAATATCTATGGGAAAGTTCTTTTGACACCCACTTCCCCCTTTCTGGCCATTGCCACTCATGCCTGGAGGACAATCACACACAATTTCCCCTTGTCCATCACTGCAGTACGCTGGGTATGTGCAGGGGTTCTTTTCAGGATGAGTGCACACATTCGAACCTAATAGATATCAATAAATCATCAATGGCACTAATAATTTAGTCCTCTTGCGCCGCTGGTTAGCAAATACTTTCTTTTTCATACCTTGTGGTTGCTGCATAGGGGAACCTGCATTGGAAGAGAATGGTCAATATTAGATCTTCTGATGGTACTAAGGACACTAATTGTAACCTGGACATCTCTAAATAGACATATATGTGATCCACTTATTCAGCTTGGAGACCAAGATGAAACTGCGTGCTTAAGATAAATTGGAAAATAGAAGTAAAATGGATATGATGAGTACAGGAGTTTCCCCTTGTGACCGCACATCCTAAAATGACATGTAAAGGCTAGGTGGTACTCTGTCTGTTCTCTTTCACATGTCTTTTTAGGATGCATGCAATTAACTTTATAAAACTTGTACAACTAAGCTAATATACACAAAAGTATTTGGATGTTCATGGGCGAATGTTATAAGTAGATCTGTCATTAGAAATACTTTTATTTCATTACTTTGTTTCCTTCTAAGTAATTCTGATTAACCTGTATTTGTTAAAGACAATGGTCAAAGGTATACATTGGAGACCGCATGCATGCTCAAAACATGTGCAGAGGAACAGAGATTATGCATAAAAGTAGCTTAGCTGTAGCTTTTGATATTGTGTGAAATGTTAAGTACATTCAGGCAGTATACATTTTGGTTCCTTTTTCTAAACATATGAAACGTTAGATATTACCAGATGGACTGATGGCCTCTTTGCAGCTTGTCCTTGTCTTGTAACCGTCACCGATCCAGCCATCGGGACACGAGCAAGTATAACCTCCTTGGGTGTTGTTGCAGTAGAACCGAAGGGTGCAATTGTTGCCACCGGGAGTCTCACATTCGTTTATATCTAAACCAACAGTGCAGCACTTCATTTGAGAAATCAGAGAAGCATATTTCTATTCAAAAAACAGGCTGAGTAATACTAGAATTTCTTATACTGCTGAACTTGATTGTCCTGTTTGGCAGTTTACCCCGTGGTTTATAATTTTATATTCAGTTAGTTCCATTTATGCAAGTGATGAAACCGAGTTATACTCATACTGTCTCGACCTCGATATTCCCTCCGGAACCCATGTATATTTTCTAGGCTTTTTGCTGATGATGGCTGTTGCACAGGATAATTTCAGAAACTCCAGGATGTGTTAGAAACCAAAACCACCCAACTTTGTTTTTTGACTGTGTGGTAGCTTTCTTGCCTAGATTTCAATCTCTTCATCTGGTTGAGCTAACAAAGATAAAGTAATGAACCAGTGTGGTTGCCCTTTTTTTTTTAAAAAAAAAGAAGCATGTTTGTTAATCTGCCTAGGCTATATTACAAGACCTTAGGTGGATTTGTGTGCTTTCATGTGAAACTGCAGGTGAAATTATATCTCTCTGATGGATGAAGAAATATTTACCTACACATCCATCGGCAGCGTACGGATTCCCGTCATACCCTGCATGACACTTGCAGAGATGGCCCGCTCCACTGGGCGCGTCAATGCACCTGCTCATATTGTTGCAGTACCGTGTCGCCAAGTTGTGGATCGAGGCCTGGTGGCATGTGCTGCGTCCAACTGCCCAATCCAAGATCATCCTGTGGTCACCAGCCGGCAACAACATGTCTTTCAGCGGCCTCTGGACACCGCCTCTGGCACCCCTGAAGACTTCATCGCCTGGGGCGAGGAAGAAGGCAGCGCTACAAGTGCCATCCTCCTGGCCCATGTCTTGCTCTTCCATCTTGTCGAAATTCAAGGTGAACTCCCGAGCGGCATCGATCGGCATGGAGGCGTTGCAGCATGCTACCCCATGAAGGCAATCGACGGTGCCGGAGCTTTCGTCGCAGTAGGGGGAGCAGCTGGTAGCTTCCCTATGTTGTGAGGAGTTGTCACCGACTGACGAGTTGCTGAACTTAGCAACTAGCCTGTAGTTGCATCCAGTGGCCACCAGCTTATTGCGATTGGAGAAGGAGAAGGGCGTCTGCTCCAAGCTGATATTGCCGATTCCGGTGGCCTTCATCTGCTTACCGTTGCGGTCGTAGCAGACTTGGTGGATGGGCCCGGCTAAGATGACGACGAAGCCTCCTTCCACCGACACACGGTCGATTTTATAGCTATGCTTGTCGATCTGCAGCATGGCCTCATTGTTTCGGCCGCACGTTACCTCGAAGCCTTGTTGCAGGGCTTTGCCATTGACGCCGAATGGATGCTGGATGCTGTTGCATGTTATGTTCCGCGCCACCGTAGACGGTGGTGACGGTGGCGGCAGCGCTATCTGTGAGAGTGCGTCGCGGGGCAACACTGACAAGAGGAAGAGGAAGAGCATGAGCGGGCGGAGCCGCCATGCGGACATGGCTGATCTGCTCTCCCTTCGGCACGGCGTGTCGCCTCTTCCTCTCGTTTGTGCACGGTGTGGTGGCTATGCTTTATTCCAACATCGACCTTTCTTTCTAGCTTCCTGGTATTCCTGGCCTCACATCGCCTGGTGGTTTTGTGCAAAAAGCCCTCAGGTTTATGTGTCTCTTCTTTATCTAGATCAAAGATATTTCTTCCCTCCTGATGCATGTATATAAACCTGAGGTTCAGTCCTCGCAAACCTCTTTCTTCGCGAAGACCTTGACGAAATGAGAACTAAGCAGAAATGTAAGCCATTCTAGTTTGATAATTCATCCCTCACGTTCCCTGCTTTACATGCAAGTTCAGTCTCTGAAGAGATGTCAATTCTCTTCAATCATTGTCGCTCGACGGAAATGGCCACAGCTGTAAATAGTGGATCATAGGCACGGCGAAGACCGGCCTTGCTGGTGTCATGAGTCAATGCATAAAGTTGAGATCGACGTCTGTTTTCACAAAGGCCTAGCATAATACATTAGGAGGCGCGAACCAACCTGTGGTTGGATGATTAGAGGGACTGTGGTATTCCCGGTCCATCAGAGTTTAAGTCCTGTTGTTCGCATTTATTTCTAAATTTATTACAGGATTTTCGACGATGCTCATTCAGTGAGAGGAAATGTTCTCGTCAACGACGAGGCGCTTATGGAGGCTTCGTAAATTTCAAGATGATATGCCGGCCCAATCTTTCAGATGTGCTCATAAAGATAGAGTGTGCGTGTATACGTTTATAAGAGGGCGGATGCTAGGCGTAAGCCGGCTGATATCATGCAGTTATCAGTCGCCTTGATGACCGTCTGATCAAGCACATCGTAGCCGTGCACAACCCATGCAGCACTCCCTGTCACGCTCCAAGCACAGCTACCACCGGCAGCACGGCCGCAGCGGCCAGACGCCACCGAAGCTGTGATGCAACGGCCGTCGGATTTGTGATGCAGGATGCAGCAGGCGTCGATGCCGCCGGACCTGCGATTCAACGGCCACGACGCTGCCGGAGCTGCATTGCAGCGGCCCCGACGCCGCCGGAGCTGCTATGCAGCAGCCACGACGTCGCTGGAGCTACAATGCAACGGCCACGACGCGGCCGAGTTGCGATGCAGCGGCAGCCGGAGCTGCTATGCAGTGGCTATGACGCCGCCGGAGCTGCGATGCAGCGATCGTCGACGCTGGTTTTGCGGCAGCTTGATTTTGCACGCTTGCCGGGGCCTCGGGGCTATTGGAACTTGGAACGCAGGGAAGTCACTAGTGGTCGTCGCCTGCCCCATGGAGCAGCTCGTGTAGGCTAAGCAGCAGCCGAGCCACTGCCTTGCAGTGCCCGCGGCCAGCGCCACTCGCCGGCGGAGTCTCCTCCGACAGCGTCGAAACGACGGGGTGGCCGGATCTTGCATCGGGGCGCGGCCGAGCATCGCCTCCGGCGTCTCCGTGCACACACCTGCTGCCTTGCTTGCTGCTTCGGTGAGATGGGGAGGAGACGATAGAAAGAGTGGAAGAGGGGATAAGATTTCTGTGATGGAGAACGAAAGGCACGTGATGAGGCGACCGACTGGTGAGGCCCACGCTGGACACGCGTCATACGATGGAGGCGGCTTACGAGTGCTTATTATCAGCCGGTTGAAACAAAGTGGTTTTCTTATAAGAGTGAGCGTATGCACGTATATATAAGCACTTGTTGAAAAAATATATACATTAGGAGGCGACAACTGATGCAAAGACGCTACCCGTAACTTGGATGTCATTGTTCAGGCCCACCACGGTTGGCTCGTTGCTTACTGCAGTAGTAGCTTTCGGAGAAGAGATGCGGCGAGCGTTGCTTTTGGTGACCCTCTCCGGCTCTCATCATCATCGGTGCCTTCCTTTGTCCACAACATGTGGAAAATGGCTTGACCTTAGCTTTGCACGATGCTCTTGAACGATGTATGCACGTCTACGTGTGCACGCCACGGCGGCACATCACAAGCTCACGCCCAAAGCTATTGCATCATACTTGTATTGATTATTAATGAATGAACAGTAATCCTTGTTATTGACCAATGGTTGAGTACTATATGGTATATGGAAGAGAAGAAATCCCCCCGTCCCTCTAGCGAGCGACAGAAGGGAAAACCTAGCCGCCGCCGGGGTCTCCCCTTCTCCGCTTTCCTCCTCCTGCGGCGGCTAGATCTGACCCGCGGGCGGTGCGGGCTGTGAACGACCAGTTACATCGTGGCTGTGCAGACTGCTCCACGCAGCGGTGGTGACATGTCTCCCATGCCCGGCATGGCTGTCTGGCGAACGCAGTGGTGGATGCCGGGGCAGCGGCCTCGGGCAGCGGAGCTGGTGGTGGCCTTCTCGTCATAGTGATGGGAGGTCAAGCACGGCTGACCATGGGGAGGCACGCGAGGGATTCAGGATCTTGTGCCTGGATCTAACGGTCGCGACGGCGGTTGCCGCTGTATGGGCGAGACAACGGCTGGCGCGGAGGTGGGTGCTTCCTGTAGCACTCGGAATTGGGGCGGCAACCCCTCTTCTTCGATGGCGGCAGACTCCCTGATCGTGCGGGCGAATCGGAGTCTGGATCTCGAGGTGGTGACGACCCTTTTGAGGCTGGTGGTGGTATATGGTACGTCCCCTCGATCAACATATTGGGTTTGATGCGACTTGGCAGGTGACACATGCGTCTTTTTTGGAGTCGTCGACAGGTGATACGTGCTTAACGATGACCGGGGGCTGACTTCATCTCTGATCGAATTTACAATCCTTTACCTTGATCAACTGAGAATCAAGCACAGATACAAGTTATGGTTTGATACCACGTTCCCTACTTTTTAGTAATCTTGATCTGCGTGTGCTGTAAGCCTGTAACGCGATTGCGCAGTCTCTGTCAATATCCCAATTACTGTCACCCGGAAGGGAATGGCAACAACTGGAAATATTGCATCACAGCCACGGCGAAGACCGGGCATGTTCGTGTGAGTCAATGCATAAGATCGAAATGGACGTCAAGACCATACGTTGCGACAACTGAGAAAATATGGTGGTCGTAACAAGATGTCATTGTTCAGGTCCATCACGGTTGGCTCGTTGCTTACACTGTAGAATTTCTTTTACAAACGCACTATATTGTGGTACGGAGGGAGCCTTGCTTTTGGTGGCACTCTCAGCCTCTCCCGTCATCATCATCGGCGCCTTCCTTTGCCCACAACCTGTGGAAAATGGCTTGACCTTAGCTTTCTGCGATGCTCTTGAACGACGCATTATACATCTATGTGTAGACGCCCCGGCGGCACATCACAAGTAACCACACGCAACTCTGCTATACTTTTACGGTGGTTCAGATGATTCTTAAGGGCAGATACAATTGTTAATATAATAGTGCACATCTAAAATAACATTGTTGTACATGCCTTAATGGACTCAAGTCCAACATGAAAAGACTTGGTGGCATTTCACCAACCGTGGGGATTGGACAGCAGCTTAGGGCATCTTCAGTCGCGCCCCCAGAAAGGCCTCTTTAGGCGTTTTTTTACGCCGGCGCCGAAAAATCGGCCCAGTCGCGTTCCCAGTTGCCCGATTTTCGTCGGCTTGGGCCGAAAACAGCGCCGGCGGACCCAGGCCGAACCCGGCACGCTGGGGAGCGCCCGGGGGCGCCGGGGCAAACTGTTTTGGCGCAAAACAGCCGCGGGCCTGCCGCGTCAGGGACATGGCTCTCTTCTCGCCCCTTCGGCGTCCTCATCGCCTCGTTTTCCGTGGCGAATTAATGCCAAAGCTGCCGCGCCGGTCAGCCTGCGCCATTGATGCCTCACGGGCGGCGCAGTGAAGACCGGATGACGCGCGTCCCTCGTCCTCCCTCGCTCGCCACGCGTACTCACGGCGGCTCGCGCACGGGCGGCGCCTCGGCATATATAAGACGCGCCCCAGCGCACTCGGCGACTCGCACTCTCTCGCCGTCGTCGTTCCTCCCTCTCCTCTCTCTCGCCGTTTCCAGTTCATCACACCTATGGCCGAGCGCTTCCCAGGCGACGGCGCGGCGGCGAACGGCTTCGGCCGCCGCCATCTTCACGAGAACGAGACTCGCCTCCTTTTCGAGGCCGAGTACCCGGTCCCGCCGGACATGTGGGTGCCCGGGGCGTGGAGGATCAGCGCCGGCGGCGTGCCGGTGCCCCCGGTACCCACTGGCGCGGCGCGGCGTGCGGAGATCGCACGCATCCGCTCGTCCCTGCCACGTGCGGCGAGGGAAGGGCCACGGTACGTCCCCGACAGCCCGCTCTGGGAGTCTTATTTCCGCCGCCGTCACGCCGAGCAGCTCGAGGCCACCAACGGCGTCGAGCCCTCCGGCAGCCTCAACGCCGTCGGCCGGCGTCGGTGGTGGGGCGTGCCCGGGCGCACGTTGGAGGCCGTCCTCGAGTACATCGAGGACGGCAGCACGCCGCGCCTCGAGTACCCCGCTCCCCCGTCCTTCCCACGCCGCCAGGGAAGCTCCTGGACCCCGAGGCGCATGGAGACCGGGGGGTCCTCCTCCTCGTCCGGCGGCTCCCCCTGCCTCCACCTCCGCCCCGTCAAGCCGGAGCCCTAGGGCACGCCTGTCAGCGCGCGCACCCGCAGCTCCGTCGTCCGCATCGGCGACAACGCCTCCCCCACCGGCCGCTTCGTCCTCGTCGAGCCCAAGCCGGAGCCCGGCCTCCCCGCGGAGTACGAGGAGATAACCCGGCGTGGCTTCTCCGACGAGGACGCCCTGCGGTGGGCGCGGGACGACTACCTCCGCGACGAGATGGTCCGGCAGTGCCGGGCCCTGGAGGAGATCGCCGCCCGCAAGCGTGGGCGCGAGGACGAGCACGGTGTCGTGGTCCTCGACAGCGACGACGACGACGACGCCCCCGGACCGTCCAACCCACCGCGCCAACCGGGGGAGGGATGCAGCAGGAACGGCGGAGGCGTCGGCGGGGACGTCCCCACGACGACGGCGGTGACTACACGCGGTTCTAC